AAAAAAATATTTCATTATTTCATTTCTTACCGTTTTAATCTTTCACTTTCATTTTTTTAACAATTTATCGAATAAAATTAGACTTATTTCATATATTTTATTGATTAATTAATCTAAATCTTATATTAAAATTTTTTTTTTGAAAAAAATATTGTGGTGTTTTAAATTTTTTTTGTTTAAAATAGATATCCGCGAAAATCCGGATATCCGCAAATATCCAAAAAAAATCCTTAGATATTCATCAAAAACAAATCGAATCACAAATACTGTATTTTTTCGGATATCCAATCCGTGTCCATGCCTATCCCTATGTAACTAAAAGCTTTCAAGTATACAATCTACTCTTTTATTATGGCAATTTAAATTAGCAAAAAAAAAATATTCATTTTATAATTAATCTAATTTCCGTGTTGGTAACTATTCATATTTTTCACAAATGTTGTTTTGACAAGTGTATTTTTACCAAATAAGCTAAGACGTGAATATAAGGTACTAAAGTGCGATTCTGTCTGAATATACTTAAGTCAAATATCAAATTTTTTAAAAAAATGAAAAGAAAATAGTCCATAGTGGCCATATAATTGGTACTTTTGAAAAAGACAGTTTCTAAATTTAGGACGAAACTACAGCTGTTTGCAATTCAGCTAATTTAAAATACAATAGTATTTGTTTTCTGATATTTAAGTGGCAAATTATTGGACTCGTGGATCGTGATGAAATACGAACAAGAAACAATAAACGCAAATATCATAATTAGAAACTTTCGTCTACCTTTAAAAATGTTAGATATTTGTATGAAACTCCCCTTTATTTAGAAAATACTTTACTAATTTCTGAATTACGTGTATAAAAATGTTCATTGATTTTTAGGGTTTAAATTGTAATCGGTATTTCTGATTTTGACTAATTCTCCGAACTGTTGCATTTATATCGAAAGCAGCTAGTTGGCATTGATAATGACATCTTTGCTTTTTTTTTTCAAAATAAAATTTGTTGTTTCTGTGTTTCTTACAACGGCTATTACTGAGATTTCGATTAAATTATAATCATTTTTTGTTCTGTTCCTGAATAAACTCTTGTTGATCATAAATATCAAAATTATCTTCAGATTAAAAAAACATCAATATTTACCCATTATATTATTCAGTAAAATATGTATAAAGAAACACAAAACATGTATGCGTGAATACGTTACATAGTGATACTAATAGTTATAGAATCATGATTAATAAAGAACAATAAAGAATTTTATGAATTCTGAAGTCATATATGATCCTCTTAATGATTCCAATTTCCAACAGAAAAGGTAAAATTTAATTTGGAAAATAGCTGAAAATGATTAATTTACGTTAAAAGTCAATGTATTACTGTTTACAATACTAATATTCAAAGCGCGTTATTATTTTTATTTTTTGTGCCGGCCTTATAATTTTGTTTTTAAGTAGAACTACGAACTCGTAAAAAATAAAAATCGGTCAAGTCATTGGTGAAAAAGACAAAACTAAAGGTACTTGCAAAAAAAAAAAAAATCCTTATTTGTCAAAATTTAATTGATATTATAGAAAGATATCAACATGAGAACGACCCATATCATTTAAAAATCATTTGATAGTTTTTCCATGGAAAAAACACAAAACACTACGATTAAAAAATGGACAATTACAAAAATACCACTTTTGATGTGTATAATTGCAAAAATGTCAATTATATGGGAAAATTGTGTAAATTGGTCAAATTTGATTTGATTTTGTCCTACTACCCCTTTTTCTATTTTTACCTAATTTACCCTTTTGACATATCTAATAAATCATTAAAAATAGTTTTAACAGC